CCCCAAAACCCCAAAACCCCAAAACCCCTGAATGGCAATTAAATCTTATGATAATGAATAATCATTATTCGACATTTAATTTATATTCGTATTAGCTAGTGAAGTTATTACTAGTTACAGGCGCTTAAAGTGATCTTTAAGCGCTGAATACTCTCTTCTACCTAACCTCTGTGACATCCATCACATCCATGTAACTGCTATTCATATTTTAATAGCCTTGATAATAATTTTTCCCGCTGCTGTCATTTGTTTTTTTCATGTACATGTGTCCTCTAGATGAGGGCCTTCTCTGAACCATAGTGTTATTAAGTCCATACTTCAATTTAGCCTGGCTGTCACTTTATTTTGCTAAAAGTATTGTAAAGCGATGAAAATATTTACTTTGGAAATTTTACTAAGATTATCGATAATTGATAACAGTCCTTTGCTTATTTATAGTAGTAGTTGCTGCTTTACTTTTAGAATTTCTATCAGGTTTAAAATACTGTAACAAATCTTAGTTGATGTCATAATTCCCTTAAAGAAATTCATCATCATCGTTGCAAGTAGTTTCCTATTTATTTTTATCATTATTACTGTTGTGATTATTATTATTTTTTGAAAATTTCAAAGGAGGAGTAAAGATCATTTGTGGTTTTTTCATAATCATTATCTTCCTATATGATTTTGACATAATAAAATTCTTACGGAGTGATAATTGAGCCCTTTAATTCAAGAAAAGATTGATTGTTAGATTCTATTTACAATTTATATCTATTAGGAGGTTCAATATTGTTGACACTGCTATTCTTTTAAATAGGCCTATCTTGGCTTTGATCTTTATTACTGTAGCAGTCATAATCTTACAAATTAGTAGAATCAAAATTGCTGAATTTAAACTAGCCTTGCTGCTTCTAGGTATACTCATTAAGTATCTGATTTTCGAAAATAGGCACTCTCTAAAGTTATTAATTATCCTTCTAAGTGTTTGGCATTAAAGACTGAGAGCTATGTTAATTTGACATTATCAGAGATCAATTGTTATTAAAGTAGATATTGTCATTCATCTCAGATTTTTCAGGGTGGTCAATCAAACTATTCCCTCTCATAAACAACGAATTGGTGCTTTTTTAAGGTGAACCACTGAATGCTTTTGGCTAGAGATTACTATTGTTGAAAAGATCCTTAATTACCTTAAACATTTCTGACTTTTCAATTGACTTTTTGCGTAATATAGACTTATTGTCATTATCTGCAGTCTTGTGCACTATGTTTCTGTCTCTCGACATTTCTTACATTCTTTTTATCATACTCTGTCTTTACTTCAAACTCTCTAGTAACGATTGTTCCTATTGCTAATACTATTGCTGCCTTAATTAGTTCTTCCTTGTAGTTGAGTGATGAATGATTTTGTTATTTTACCAATCAGCTTTATTGTTGTGATTTTAATGTCCCTTGTTGCTTTTTCTTGCAAAACTACTTTTGTACATTGTGGACTAATTTTACTAATTGCTGAAACTGAGACAGTTGAGATCAAACATGACACCATCATTATTATTAAGTCTGTAGTTAATCAGTATTGGCATTTAAATGCTCTGCTACTTACTGTCCTTTTAATTCTAGTTTTAACTTTTACTCTACGAATGACTATTATTATTTCCAGTGGAGTTATTATGATGATTATTATGAATAATGCCCCCACCAATAATACCATTGTTATTGCTAGTAGTACTACTATTGTTGTTATTTGTTTTAGAGATATGGAAATTTTTTCATCCCTTCACATTGAAACCATTGGGAGATAAGTTCATATTGGTTTTCATTTGGGTAGATTAGTTTACCTGAGTAGATTTGGTTGTCTCTGCTCCTGAGTGAGCTTGCGAAATGTAGCCAGTCTTCTTAATTTACTTAGGAGTCTTAATGAACCGTATTTAATTAAGTGTGGAGTAATTTTAATCTTTCATTATATTTCTAATTAAATCATCATTTAATTATTTCTAGTTTAACTTGCTTTTTTATTTGTCTTCTTACTTATCCATCAAAATAATACCCAAGCGGGGTTTTGGGGTTTTGGGGTTTTGGGGT